AAGGCAGAATAACTTACTTACTCAATTAATCATGTTGCTAACAGGTAGATTGCATATATGCTGTGGGATGTTGCCTGGTATAAAACCACAGATTATTTGAGGAAGTGTCATAGTGACAGTTTTCTGCGCTATTCTAGGTATATCAACACATTTTGTAGTTGACCTTTGTCTGTGTCGCTCAAAATGTCAGCACACATAATGGGACATCAACATCTACCCTGGCTCTCACGGCATCACGACACGCTCAGTGACAACAACAAAAAATAGGAAGAGAGAGAGAATGAGAGAGGGGGGGAGAGAGAGATGCTGAACAGAGTGTTGAAGCCAACAGAGCTGGAGGCTGACAAAAAGCCTTCACATTAAAAAAAAAGGGTACGAGAGGAGACGCTATAATTATATGGTTGACATAACACTTTAAATTAATATGTTTTTCCTTGATCAGGTTTATGTCACTTTTTAAATTAGATCTCAAATTTACTTAATAGCAACAACAACTCGCATAGATCACAAGGATACAAACAAGGTAAATTTGTAATAATTAAACTATGACAGAAAGCACAAATTAGCAGCATATTTTCCCCCAGTTTAATCATTATGCTTCAAATTTCACAGAGTTGTTTTGATTGACAACACCAATAAAGAACAATCTGTGAGAAGTTATTTTTTTCCCGGCAGAAAAGCGCTGGCTGTGCGCTAACGAGTGCTTGCATGAAGCGTTTGTGCGCTGAGAAGAAAAGTGTTGCTGCACGTCCGTCCTGTTTCTATGACAACAGTCTGTTGACAACGGTGGCTGTATGACTGACACTTCTGCGTTACTTTTTACTGTTTGTTTTTTATTTGAGATCGTTTTTACCAGTCACGGAGCAAAGAGGATGTGGGTACAAGACACAATCTGTAGGCGGCAAAAATACAGGGAATATCTTACATTTGGAAAAGAGCGTCTGTGACGTCAACAGCGCCTTTCTGAAAAGTAGAACGATTTTCAACTTGAGCGCTCGGAAAAAAAAACGTTGGGTGCTGCGCTTTTTCTCAAGGTGGTCGCCTGCTGCTGCAAACGCTCTTGTCTCATTGAAAACAATTTTACTAAGATGCTGGCACTCTAGGTGGACACGGGGCCTAAGTTATCTCTTCTGCAGATATGAGTGGGCGCCAACTAAGGCCTTCCTCTGATTTATTCATTTCATAAATCTATCCCTCCCTGATTCGGGTGTCAGAGCCAAAAAGCTTGAGTATCGACTCCAAAGTGCAGCTTCATCAATATCTTTAAAGTCTGGTGTAAATCCTGAACTCACCAGAGCGTCTATGAGTACCTCGGCCCCCTCCTCGCTTTCATGGAGTGTGTCGATATCTGTCAGCTCCTGCAGCAGGTCCACCACTGCTATGGCAACATGTAGCTCAGGCTAAGGACAATATGAACGTGATCACACATAACATATACCAGTGCCAGACTGACAATTGACTGTAGAATCAAAATCAGCTACTGAAAACCAATCTCATGATCATTTAGTAAATTTAACTGATAAATTGCATACTGTTTAATAAATTGCTTTGAATTTTATGATCAGATAATTAAATCATGTGGACAGCAATATTCTGCTCTTTTTGCTATGGTCAACAAATCTTGTGAAAAGACAAAAACCTAGTGTGTTTTCTAACAGATATCCTTAATTCATCTTCATGGAACTTTGTGGCCCTCATCAGGGTCGTCATAGACGGCCTTCATCAGGGTCATCATAGGTGGCCCTCATCAAGGTCATGGATGACACGTCAGTCTAATTTGTTAATAAAGTCGATCTTCATACTACAAGCTGGAGCTTTTCAACCTCTTCAAGCCTTTCACCCATAATACACCTTAGTAGTCAGAGCCCACACATATATATCAAAGAAAGGATATCAGTGTTCTCATGACTGAGGAGGCCCAGCAGGGAGTGGACAGCGTTGAGCTCCACCAGCAGGTGGTACAGGTCGGGCATTGTGGCGATCACATGCATCTCCTGGATGATGTCGTTCAGATCCAGCTCAGACTCCATGAACCTGTTTTAAAGAGCAAGAAACATTTTGATTTGCAACATTTTATTTAAATATAAATCACTAAGCACAATAGAGGGAATGTAATAAATAGATACCCTGTCATGTACTTTATATATACTCCATTACTTAAGAGACAGAGCGCTGTATGTTTAGGCTTAAAATATTTCATTATTACATATGAAATGTAGTTTATCACCTATTATAGTGTTAGAGTTCTTAAAATATATACAGCCTATAGAGCAAAGCTTTGTGAATGGTCAGTACCACACTTACTTCTCTGGGCTGTCTGGAAACTTAATCCTCAGCTCCTGATTTTTATACGACCGTTTCTCAAAGGTTAGGATCATTTTCTTCACTGAACTCTCGTCCACCGGCTCTGCCTGTTTGATTGGTTCACAGAAGGAGAGAGGATGAAATGTTTGAAAAGGGAAGACAGAGAAAGAGGAAAGAAAAATCTTTCTTAGAGGGAAGCTGCTGCAATGACAGAGAAATATCAAGAGTCAAACTAATTATGTGAGTTGAGCAAAGAACCCAGAAGTTTTCGATGATCCAGGGGCTTGTAAGTGCATTTAAGTGGAAGGGGAATGTTTTTGACCTCCTGCTGGCTTAAAAGCCCACTAAAGTGTTGAAAAGATAATGACAGGTTAGGAAATTACAATAGTCAGTCATTATGGCACAGTGCAGCACTTTGCTTTGAGCAGCTCTTGACACGGTGAATAAAAAACCTTGGCACCAGAGCAGAATAATACATTTTCTTTGGCCTCAATTAATATGGCAGCAGTGGTACTGACAACGGGTCTTGTGCTATGGTTGTATGATTTTAGATTTGAACTCAACTTTCAAGACGCGAACACAGACGACTAACTTCAATTCTGCTAATTAAAAAACTATCAGGATCTTAAACTAAAGGTCTGTCCATGTAGCCGAAAGTCGACTATTTACTCTCTTTTAGCTGACATGTAGAAGTCCTCATTCATGCAAGGCCTGCTCCGACCTCTACCTCTACACCAAGGAAGTGTGGACAACAGGAACGCGAGAAACGCGGGGGACTCGAGGACTACAAAGGAGAAATCCTTCCTGCATCATATCTCATCTTCCCATATCCCATTTTTCTTTTGTAACATAATGATAAATAAGGTCTTTAACCTGCTCTTTGGTAAAGCGCCTCGAGCTAACAAATAATGATTGAATGATTGATTGATTCACCTTGAGCTATGTTTCTCTGCTTTTTAGTTTATACTGTTACACTACTTGACTCAGTTGTAAGTATATCATTTTCCACTGTTGCGTTTGTCTTGCGTAAAAAACATCCAATGTAGTGGTATTAACACAGAAACAGTCACCATTACGGAAGAATCCTTCTCTGCCTCTGTCACGCACTACTCAGCACCCCCCAGCTCTCTAACCTATACCAGCTGAGCATTTGGAGTTGTAAGAGTGAGTCTGAAACAGATGATCTCAGGTAAAAAAAAGAGAATATCAAAAATGATCAGGAACCTGACAGAAATGCAAACAGCAATATCTTTGCCTACTCTGCTTCATCCCCAGTGTGGATGACGGGGAATGAGTCTGTAAAAGCTGACAATTAAACCTTTGAATTATCCTACTTCTGCATCACAGTGCAAATAAAACAGCAATGATACCTTTAATACATAACAGAACAAGTTTTGCAAAACTATTGTGTATGATAAAGACCAATGTGTGCCTCTCTGAGAAATTATTTTAGTAAAAAAAAAAGAACCCCAGACTGCATTATATAAATTACATTTGCAGTGTCCACTACCATTGTCAAAAATTGTGATGTGATGATAATGTGATCAAAATCGAACCTTAAATTTAAAGGCAGGGTTGGTTATTTTTTAACTGTAGAGCTTCTCTGTCATGGTGCTGTTTGAATACCTGCTAATTTATTATTTCAACGCCAAACTTTGTTACCACAGGGTCTTTTTCAACCACATTCTCCTTACTCTTCTCTGCTTTTTAGCCATAGTCCCATAGGCTTACCTTCCAGTCTCAATGGAATTGACAGAAAAACGGAGGATAGCTGTAGGACAGTTTGGGCTCAATCTGACTGTGACTGTACAATCCTGTGATTGCATGACCCTTGTGCCCAAGCAGCCCTCCCTCTAATAGGCCAAATATTCATACATTGAGTTTCTTGACAAATACAAATACAAATACTTGAACGTTACACAAATGTAACAATTCTGTATAATTTCCCCTACCTCAGGTTCCTCTTCATCCTGGTCCATTAGTTTCTCCAGGATCTTTTTCTTGTCCCCAGACAGCTCCTCAGTGTCCCTCATTTCACCCCCAACATCAATCCCTACTCCGGCTGCAGCTGCTGCTTCCCGGTATCTGGCCAACTCCCTGGCACTCAGCCCCTTCTGCTGCTTCCCTCCCCTGGAGTCTTCATCTCCTCCTGCTGATCCGCCATCCCCGTCCCTGGGACGCTTTGCTCCTCTGTCAGGCTGCAAGTTAAAAGGACATGTTGAAGTTTTACAATGTGCATACACAGTCATGTTGAAAATTAAAATGAAATAGCTCAGATCACTCAGTGTGGGACGAAATTAGTAAGAGGATTTTTTTTTCTATAACATTTCATGCAAAAATTAGAAAGAGATACTTAATACTACATTGTTATATACCACACAAAAGTATTCCTATGCACCTGACTAGACAAACCACAGCAAAAACTATCAAAACAAATTGAAGTAGGCAAAACTGCTTTAAGTCTATTCAAAGATAACTTTGAATTACTTCTGTGTGTCCAATAAGCACATTTTGTTTCAGTACATAAGCAGGTGTTCAGTAGATATTCCGAAGAAATGAGAACTACTATAACCAGCTGCTTCAGGCAGTTTTATGATAAACATCGAGAGAAAAAATTATCTTTTTTTTCAGCCGAATTTTTAAATGCATATTAATGATAGGGGAAATGCATTTTATGTCATGATGTGTGGTGTAATGCAAGGATTATAAGTGACTACACGTCAATTACAAGATTTACCAATGGGTACTGGCATGCTAAACAGAAGATGTCTTGGACAAAATAATCTTCAGATCTACCCAGCCAGTATTCAGGGATGTATATGGTTTATGTGTCAATGTAAAAGCATTTGTGTTTTCACCTACTTTATACACTAATATCTATAATAACCAAGTTACAGTCGTAGTCTACCTCTTAATTTTCTGAAGCCAAATAATTAGCAACCTGTTAGTTAGCATGATAACTGCTCGTATTTAGTTAAACTACAACAAGTCGAACAATGTAATAGTAACTAACTAATTTCAGTAATGGTTTCTAGAACATACAGACCCATGAAAGTAAATAATGAAACAAAATTAAAGCGTTCTTGCAAGACGTGCATCATTATTTGCAAGCGATGCTAATGCATTAACTCCAGTGAATGAAGTAAGGATTGCTAACGTAAAGCCTCACAACAGTAGTGAGCAGAATAAAATACTTACCTGATAGTTAAGGAGCTCCCCAACATCCATATCTCCGGAATAAAAACCTAAAGGTGAAAATGTTTTGCTCAAGCTTGGATATTTAAGCAGAGCGTGAAATTGTGTAAATATTTATCCGGCTAACAACAAGCTTTCAAAGGAGCAGACATGCTTGCCGTAAAACGTTTTGCTTCGCTGTCGTAGTAGGAAGCCGCAGTAGGAAGATACTGTCGTACACTTTGACTGTCACTCTTTCTGCAACCCTGGGCTTCTCACATAAAACATCAATGCTTTAGTGTCTTGCATTGTAAAATGTGGAACTGAATAAAATGTTTGAAAATAGTTCCAGTTTAAAGTATATTGTGTGCTGATACAACTTAAATGGTAAAGGCAATGTAATGTTTTAATGAATTTAAGTTGTGCACATTCACAGTGAACAAAAGTAGGTATCATACACTTAAATCAAAAAGTTATTTTTTACTTTTAAAATTATGTTTTCTTTTCTTTTTTTAAGCAGGTTTTCGTGATTTTTTTACCTGACTTATGAGATCTTACAGTGTGTGAGAATTTATATATAAATGCATGCATATATTTATATACAATCCATGGTTGCTCCTCATGAATTTTTATTCCATGAACTTCCTTCTGTAAAGCTGGGGGGGAAAAGTCCACCAACCTAACAACATATTTGTGCTGCATTTCTACAATTTCGCATTATCTATGATAATGGTGTGTTTAATAAGCACGCAACATGGATGCACTTATTTCAAAAGTTACACATTTTGAGACAAACTGGAAAAAGATGTTCTAATCGAGTTGTATCACAGGTGACACAACTGTGGCTGTCACAACTAATTTTTTCAGTCTGTAGCACAAGGACAAAAAAGTATGAACCATAAGGATGAACTTTAGGCCTATATTTACAGAAGTAACTAAAATCACAAAGCAGGAGGGTACATTTTTTTGATACTATCGATCATTATAATAAGTTGTATTAAATTTGTTAACATATTTTTTATACTTGCCACACAGCATGTTGCGCCAAAAGTAATGCAACCAATATGTTTTCATTCCCAATAGATTTCTTTAGCTTATTTGCCAATCCTGATATAAACCCCCTTAATTAGGCAGGTTAAATCAGACCTGACTGTCCTCATCAGACCCTGCACATGAAATCCTAGTCTTAAGGGCTCAATTTAGCTGTATTCATACTTGAGAGCTTTATGCCAAGATGGCTTAGTGTTCCAGACAGGCAGAAAATCGTCTTTTCAATAGGATTCATTGGGAAATATATGAGTGTTGCATGGTGTAGAAGCCTTCATTGCCATTCCAGTCTCTGGTCAGTGATCTGTGACAGTAGAACAATAGAAACAACATTTAAAAGGAGGACCACTGCCAAGCAGTAGAGCTTGACGTCCCAGCAAACATGAGGGAATAAGTGCTTGATCAAAGGAAAGAGAGACATGGGGTGAAAGAGGGAAAAGGAGAGCACGAGGGGTGAAAAAGACATTTATATGGAAATCTCATCCAGGGATTACAGGCTAGAGACAGCTTCAGATGAAAACAAAGTTTGATTGGGAAAATTGCATGTTTGCTTTTTCTGAGGATGATCACTAAGTTAGGATCAAAATACATACAAAAAGTAATAAAACACAGACTGTTAATTCAAAAATGTAATTAAGAAGAAAAATGCGTTATCTATATATGAAAAATGAAAACAAGATCATAATGTCGGAGTTCTGTGTAAATGGTGCTTAATCACAAGATTTTATGCACAATAGTTATTTTCATTATTTGCTCAATTCTGCTGACAGATGGACATACATAAAAATAATGACAATGAGCCACATGTTCATCTGGTATGGATGAGCCTGTACAGTAAGAGACTGCCTAACTGTAGTTAAAGTTCCAATCTTTGCAAAAAGAGAAATTCAGTGCATTTTCTTCACCGAGATGTGTAAATTTGTTGTAAACTTACACACAGTCAGTTTCATTAGTGCATTTTAAGTGATCCAAAAAAGTCAGAAACTACGAATATTATTCAATGGAAATCAAGACTTTGACAAAAAGACATGGCTGTCAGAAATGGAATAGAACAGGTATTAATTATTGTGCAAATTTAATGTCAGTTAATTCTTTCTATTACACATGAGTAGAATATAACCATTTAATAAAACTTAGCAGCAGTTTTAAGTCAACTGACTGATTCATGAAAGCTTTTTATTTCTGAGGATGGTTATGATCCATTGACCTCTGGGATATGGGCCAAACATGCTTCCATGGCACCACCATGAAGCTCACTTTTCTCAACCATCCTACTCCAACACAACATGTCCCAACTTTGGGCAAAGCCATCTAGCAGAGAAAACCAATTGTACAGCTGGCAGGAAAGCTGTTTTAGCAGAGGATGGTTTCGATCCATCCTCTAACCCAGAGGTCAGTCCCTGGCTTAGGAGGCCAGTGCCTTATCCATTAGGCCACTGGGGCTTCACAGGACCTTGCTTTATCAGTTCCGTCCACATACGTGGACTTCCACAACAAAGCAACAACATGGGAAACATAATGGATGCTTTCAAATGACATAACAATGCCCTCTCAGGCCAGTGTGCTAGTAACAGAAACCACAGCTCACTTTGGTCATCCATCCTACTCCAATACTCCAATCCCTGAATTTATCAAGTAGTAGTTGATGGAAATCACACTGTTGTTTCAGATTCTTCTCAGGAGGTCCCAAGATGTCTTGTTTGGGCTACGCCTTTTGATTTGGAAATTCTGTTTGAGTTCACAGCTGTTGTGTACAGAATGACACTGGTCTGTGAGGAAAGCAGAGAAAGTCAATTGCACAGGTGGCAGGAAAGCTGTGTTAGCAGAGGATGGTTTCGATCCATCGACCTCTGGGTTATGGGCCCAGCACGCTTCCGCTGTGCCACTCTGCTGTAAATCACCCCACCTGGGACTTGAACCCACAATCCCTGGCTTAGGAGGCCAGTGCCTTATCCATTAGGCCACTGGGGCTTCACAGGACATTGTTTTATCAGTTTCGTCCACATACGTGGACTTCCACAACAAAGCAACATCATGGGAAGCATAATGGGTGCTTTCAAATGACATAACAACGCCCTCTCAGGCCCGTGTGGTAGTAACAGAAACCACAGCTCACTTTGGTCAACCATCCTACTCCAATACAGTATGTCCAGCTTTGGGCAAAGCCATCTACTCTGAATTTATCAAAAAGTAGTTGACGGAAATCACACTGTCGCTCGCGATCCTTCTCAGGAGGTCCAAGCTGCCCTGTTTGGGCTACGCCTTTTGAATAGAAACTGCTGTTTGAGTACAAAGATGTTGCATACATAATGACACTGGTCTGTGAGGAAAGCAGAGAAAACCAATTGCACAGCTGGCAGGAAAGCTGTGTTAGCAGAAGATGGTTTTGATCCATTGACCTCTGGTTATGGGCCCAGCCCGCTTCCGCTGTGCCACTCTGCTGTAAAGAACCTGATATGGGACTGGAACCCACAATCCCTGCTTTCAAATGACATAACAATGCCCTCTCAGGGCAGTGTGGTAGTAACAGAAACCATGGAGGAGCTCACTTTGGTCAACCATCCCACTCCAATACAGTATGTCCCAGCTGTGGGTAAAGCCCTCCACCCTGAATTTATCAAGTAGTAGTTGACGGAAATCACACTGTCGCTCGCGATCCTTCTCAGGAGGTCCCAAGCTGCTTGTTTGGGCTATGCCTTTTGAATAGAAACTGGTGTTTGAGTACAAAGATGTTGCATACATAATGACACTGGTCTGTGAGGAAAGCAGAGAAAACCAATTGCACAGCTGGCAGGAAAACAGTTTTAGCAGAGGATGGTTTCGATCCATCGACCTCTGGGTTATGGGCCCAGCACGCTTCTGCTGTGCCACTCTGCTGTAAACCACCCCAGATGGGACTGGAACCCACAATCCTGTCTTAGGAGGTCAGTGCCTTATCCATTAAGCCACTGGGGCTGCACAGGACTTTGTTTTATCAGTTCCGTCCACATACGGGGACTTGCACAACAAAGCAACAACATGGGAAGCATAATGAGTGCTC